AATTATAAGCGTTCATACTTAGTACTCTATAGTTGCTAAATGATCGGCGGCCGCCAATCAACGTTGCGTCACGCGTTCCGTGATCCCCGCCCTTATCACACGCTACCAAGGTTCATAGTTTACTAGTAATGTTTTATCATGTTGCAAAACAAACATTTTCTAAACAACTAGGATATGTTATATTGGAGTTTTTTTTAACTAAAAGCTTTTAGAAAAATTTTTACTTCGCAAATATCCGCGTTACAAAATAAAATGATGTGTCTTACCTAGTACAAAGAGCACCTCCCGCCGTCCCTCAATTGCGTGCACTATCCCCGTCACCACTAATCCCAGCACCGCTACTCCCAACACCACTACACTAGGCAAGACACACCACTGACGATAATACGACACGTGTGTCGCCTCTACACGAGGCATCCTCAGGTGATATAGACTCTACGGTGGCTAACCGCTAAGTGAGCGGCGAGCCAAAACAAGTGGCTTTTATACAGACCGCTGACGCAACCACTCTCTACTTAAGGAGCGAGCGACTGCATCATGCGATAAAACATGCGACCAATCACCGCCGGACTTACGTAGCCGTTTGTAAAATTAAAAACAAACCGCCGCGCAAAGCCCACCCTCCAACCACGCAACCAATCGCCGAACACCGTGAGGGTAACAAACGACCATATTGCGAGGCTCTCTATTATTAGAGAGCAGGCTTAAAGATTTTTTTTTAACATTTTCACCAAATTAAAAAATATAAAAAAAGGAATTTCTTCATTTTATCTCAATTTAATTAGGATTTTAATAATTGCAGAAATAACTTTCAGGTTCATTTGACTCTCAAAAACTGTTGTACAAACTTTAAAAAAGTTCATTCGCAACTTCTTAGCTACTTTAATGATGGAAGGAGATTTTTTACGTGGTAGAGCCATGCTGCAGCTATATTAGTAGTATAGTTGTAGCAATGGGTCGGCTCGACCGGGGAAAGACCACGCTCCCACCGAATACCAGCGTGAAATAGCAGCTTAACGCTGCTGTATTTCGTATGTGAGTGTAGAGAACTGAGGTGAGGTGAGAGTGAGGGAAAAGAGGCATTCCATCTTAATCCTCATGGGTGACAACGCATCTGCATTTTGATTCGTAATCGAGGATAAAAAACTGTCCATGCGATCGGAGTTAAGTTTTGCAAGACGCGTCTCAGTAGAACTCAAAAACTCCCCGATCACCCTTTTTGGCTTTTGACTGTTAGACTGGAAGGGATATTGCAGTTAACAAAAAGACAGTATACTGGCAACTGAACAGACAGGTCTTCAAATGTTTGCGGGAAGACTTCAATATAGCTCGTAATGAAGATTGAGCAAGCGTAATTAAGATTAAGAGAGCGGTTGAGCGTAACCTACAAAGTCTTCGTTAGAGATCTGTTTGCCGTTAAGAGCTAACTGTTTAAGTTGAAGACCAACGGTGGCAGAGTTATTTCCGGGAGCCCTATGATTGAGTTTTTTTTTTCAGACAGCTGTACATTGTCGTTGGAGCCACACAAACGTGTGAGGAACGATTAAAGAACAAGTCTCATTTGACACTATTTTGGTGATATCCCGGGTGTTAGTCTGAGCGAGTCTGAATGGCTTTCCAGCACCTTAAAAACTTCGTGGTGCCGGTCAAGGATGGATTTAGAGTGGAGATTCTAAGAGCAGGTAGAATACCGGTACATAGTCCTTCAGAAGCTTTTCAAGCTCGGCACTACTCCGGGGGCGTAGAGCAGAAGTGCGGTGGTTTTATCTATAAAGTCATTATTTCAGTATCTCTGAAGGTCCTTAGCAACTGAACATCAGTAGTGTTTCCCAAAGGATAGGTCTTAAACTGATAATGGACAAGACAAAAGTCATGTATAACGTCCATATCACACCTATGGCGTTAGTTGTTGGGAACACTATAAATGTAGTATGAGTAGTTTAGGAGTATCTTTACCTAGGACAAATTGTCCGACTTGGTAAGGCCAACAATATTTTTTTCAATCAAGAGGTTAATCGACAGATCCAACTCACCTGACATACATTTTCTTGTCATATTTTCCTCAGTCTTAAAACAAGGGTGTACACGCAGTGCGTTTCCCAGTAAAGACATATTGAACTCAGATTTTATGAAGATGCTTAAGGTTAGCAAGCTATGCTAGCTAGCTATAGGAACGCTTATGCTCGAAATATATTCAGAAATAGTCAGTCTCTCACAGTGCCATGCCATAAACCACGTCCACACTTACGATACTGTATCTTGTCAGCGTGTCACCAACGCGTGACGTCATGTGTAGATGCTCAATTTTTCCTACGATCCTCGTATCCAATTCTTCCGTTCCTCGTATGTTTTCCTTGTGATTGAATCAAAAACTATCATACAGTTCAGACATGGACCCAGAATCCATATCTATAATAGCTCAGAGTGAAGCAGTTACATGTGCTTGTTTTATTGCAATGAGTTTAATGGTTAAGGGTATATAGACTGCAAACTTGGGATTGAATCCGCAATTTGACTACTGTTGTGTACCACTTCTATCACAGTTATTTTTTTATATAGGATAGGACGACAAACGAGCACACAGTCCACCTGATGGTAAGTGGTTGCTGTAGCCCATAGACATCTACATCTATCCTCTTTTGCGAATCAAAATGCAGATGCGTCACCCGTCACCCGTGAGGACTACTGTCCGGTTTTAAGACACAATAGCAGTGACCCATTTGTGGGTCATTGCTATTGTGTGACAGGGAACGTGTTAAGGTTACTGGAGGTGGTTAACGTGAATACAAGTAATGCTTACAGCGTTACTAGCTTTTTTTTTAACATAGAAAGCCCTAGATGCGTTGTCATCTGTGAGGACTAATAGATAATGCTTCAATAAATGTTGGGTTGTAAAAAACAAAAGAAATTCAAAATTAAAATTATTTAATAAAACAATTTCAGTTTTCTCCTTTAAATAATAATATAGTTTCCACTAAATCTAATGGGCTTTTAACATATGACAATACATATTAAAAGAGCTTAGTAAACAGGCGCTAGTAGCCATAAGTACACAAAATTCGTGGATAGATTTCTCATTACAATAATCATACCTAGGCATTAATAGGATACTTAAAAGTTAGGCTTTACGGAAGATTACATTGCACTATATTGAAAGGACTAACATATAATGTAACATTAACATTGATTAGACAAATGCTTCCAAAAATGACATTATAGAATTTAAAAAAAACTTTTGTAAGCTTTATACCTGTTTGATACCTAACTAATCCTGAGTCTATAAAATAAAAAAGTAAACAAATTATTTTAATACCATACATACATTATGCATTTTAACAGGAAGTTGACATTGCTTAAGAAAATGAAGTCTTACAGTCACTCATATCACATATCACAACTTCTAACTAGTTTTGTCTACAATAGAAAATCTAAGATAACATTGTTATCGACTGTATAAATTGAAAATCTAGATTTAACATAAAATATTACAATAATTTACTAACTGTAATGTACAGCAGGGTCAGTGCTAAATAAAATAATAAAATTGCACATGACAAGCGATTAAGAAACATAGCATAATGCACATAGCATCGAGTCAAGAATCAATGATTACATCGAATATTATTTAATGTCGATTATTATTTGGCATCCAACTATTTAATAGAAACAATGTAAACGCAAATAAGCCTAGCTCTGAAACAGGGCTAATCAACCAAAAAGTTACATAAAAAAGTAATCAGTTTGTACTAGACCGTATATAATTCTGTAATCTTAAGCTAATATCTTTGAAATCAATTACAATATGGCTTAATACTATACGGAACCACCTGAACGAATAGAAAGTCTGGGTCTTTTATTCGTTTTTTTTTATTTTTAAGCATCTATAAGCCTGCTAAATTTATTGACTTTTACATAAATAATAATAATCTATCTTGATGTTATTCATGGATTTTCAGTAGATACCAGTTTTTCTGTGACCCCAAACTACTATTCAGTAAAAACGAAACCTAGCAATAAGTCGAGGAGCCTTGTTTTAGATTATTTATATAAACATGGACGACATTAAGCAGTGACGACAAAATACCTTCAATAGAATGCGCCGAAAATTCAACCATTCGTACAATTACTTGTGAATATTATAAATAATGCGATTTAGTGCTTGTGTAATATTTTACAATATCGAAAACGCAATTTTATTGTTTATCGCAGCACGTAATGTTATAACAATTACGATGACGTTTATATGTAAATATCCTTCTAATGAAATAAATATATTAGACGCAAGAAATTAAATATCTATTTTCGTTTCTTACGTTTAATATTCTGCAACTCTTTAACACTGTCAAAATTTAAACAAGCTCATAAAAAAGTCATAAAGATGTATGTAGCAAAGCAAATATGCAATGGCTTTTTAACTTTTTATTAAAATCAATTGTATACACAACACATACATGCGATCAGTTCAGCATTTGGTCTACTAAAGCATTACCCGTGTAAAAGTTTTATCGATGTGTTTCAACCACAATATCTTTCCAACATTCAAATAATAAATTGTAGTATGACAAAGGTAATGGTATCATCAATATTATTATTATAATATTAACAGTTTATAGCTAGGCATGGGCCATTCTTACAGTTGGAAGTATTTGTTAAAGTTAACGTAAGATAAGAGTCCTTTAATAAATAGACCTACAGTAAAATAAAAAAAAATTGTCTTTCAAAGAAAGCGAACGATTAAAATAAATAAATTCATAGCATATTGTAATTTGTCCTTACATTCGTCAATGTAAAATGCTGACAGCGAGGTACTTTACTATTTATTACTTAAGTTCTTTTTAAGGAGAAATTGTTTAAATAAAATTCGTTATGATATAACATTTCATCAGAAGCTTTTTTGTGTCAAAACAATCTCGATGAGTACATTGTACAAGTTATACATAAACTAATAAGAAACACTGAGATCTTTTTTGATAAACCATCCTTGATTTTATGTTATAATTTCAGACGGCACTCGCTTTAACTTGTTTATGGGAAATGAACTTCTGTTCAATAGATCTTCGAGGTATACCACTGACTTTTTTAGGGGACTGGTTACCGTAGTTTATAGAAGAAGGAAGAGATTTGTAACCCCCGTCGGAACTGTAGTCTGTATCTGTAGATTGCCCGTTTAAGCTCGGGCTGTGTCTGTTCCCATTAACGCTTTCTTTGCTGCTTATTCTGCCGTTATATAGGTCGCCGTAGGATGTGTGGTGTTTGAGAGTGGAGTCTTCAGTTATTGTTGGCTTTAGAAGTTCAATGGATTGTTGGCTGAAATTCTCGATAGACCTCGATCGCGATGCGTGGAGATTCTTCAGTTCGGTCTTATTGTCTAAGTAATCACGTTTTGCATATCGTTTGCTGTCTGAATTCTTGGCGAGTGCTTGAAGGTATTTGGTGCCAACGCGGCTATTAGTTTTACAGATGTCTAGTTGCACAGAAGTCTGTTTGTCCGTGTGTACGTCCTCGTCTTTCACTCCGTTCACTTTCCTCGCACCGCACTGACATTTAACGGTCCCATTGGTTACAGGTCTCTTAGTCTTTTGTGCTTCACTGTACGACGGCAGCTTCCGTACGCTCGTTTGTTCATTCCAACTGTTGGTTGTGACAAAGATATTATGTTACAATCAAAATGTGCTTGTTAATGAATTCATATATAAACGGGGAATCCAATTGAAAGCTAAAACAGTGCGCTTAGTTGAAAATGTTTATTCGTTCATTGTTTGCTCTAGTAACTTGTATCCTTTATTTTTATAATGGATAAGGAAAAATTTCGTATGTACGAATTTTATATTTCTAGACTGTTTACATGGAACACTATCTCCCAGACGTCACTGAGCAATTGCATTCCCTAGATAAATATTCAATATATATGCTACAATCTAAGCTTTGTCTCGGTCAAAATTACTCGAACACAATCAAAACAGTATTTTTGACTGAACAGTTTGATCAAACTTGATTTAATCGAAAAAGTGTCAGTTAAGGCCCGCCACATACATACGAAATTCCTTTTCGGGATTCCGTTTCGATATTCCAATTCGGAATTCCGAACGCAACAAGTCCATATAAAATCTATGACCCATCACACACGTACTTTAGTGTTCAGTTCGAAATTTTGCGGGCAAAACGGGATTCCGTATGTGTGTGTGTGGGCCGACAGGTTCGGAATTCCGAAACGGAATTCCTTATGTATGTGACGGTCCTAATACAGTTTTTGAATGAAAATATAAGTTAAAAGTAGTTTTGATCGAGACTGATAGGTAAAATCACTTTTGAGCAGGTATATTTAGTTAAAAAATGTGTCTGCTCATCAAAGTCTGCAGTCAAAAGCACTATTGAACGGGGAACAGTTCAGACTATAAAATTTAATAGGAATGTAAAATTTTTTTTTTTTGAAAATCGTTACCCCACTCTAGGATTTTCTCCTGTATCGTAGAGGCAGTTTACAAGCACACATTGCACAAGGACAAATATCCAGACCCGGAACAATTATTTGTAGGCCATACAAATACTTGATCCGTGCGGGATTCAAACCCGCGGCCCCCAGCGCAACAACTCATTGCTAAGCCACTACGCCACGGAGCCGTCATTATATTTCTATTGTCTTGAGCTTGCGTCTAGATTTTCGAAAACTAGAAAATTTAGACATGTTTTTGATACTTTAACAATATACCTTACTACTACTAATTTGGTAAGACACTTATCAACTGCACACTTTGCATTGATATCAGACAGGCAGACAGAAACTTTGCATTTTAGAACTTCAGATATGTTCAAAAATATTGGAAAATGTTAAAATACAAATGTAATCTATATTTAATACGTTACCATAATATGATGTACTAGTAGGCCGTTACAGCCCACAGCTGGACAAAGAGCCCTCATAGTTAGAGGTCAATACAAAACTAAAGATACCATTTAAGGTATGGTTATTATTGAGATAGTAATTCCGCCATCTACGTGTTATTACAAAAAAGAATTATTGATAGACACTTTCAGAAACTGCAATACGATGAAAGCTTCACTTACACGGCCACCAAGGTATTACAAACAACAGAAATATAACATAAATATCAATCAACACAAAATTTTAAAATATAGTATGTTTTAAAATTTGCTAATTCTTTCACGTATGTATCTTATTTAACAAAGAGTAAAAGAGTGACCATGTGCTAGTGAAACCTTATTCATCATACCAGTGTTGTACGAAGTGACTGACGTTACGACTGTGCATAACCGATGATAGGAAACAGCGTGAAAGGCGCGAGAATTCGGGTACTGAGATCGCCAATCTATCTGCTACATGTGGCGATTAAGCCAAATTCAATACTATAGAAGGGGGCGTATGTACATTTGCAGACTTTTTTCGGGCTAATGAAGAGAGCATAGAAATATGACAAATTCAGAACCTTACCTTTAAGTTCTGTTATGGCAGCGTGTAACACAGACACAAGTTTCATAATCAAAGCAGATCAAAAAGTCATTAATGCCATTTACAATTTATTAATCATCAACGCAAACTTATTATACGTAACACACAACAAACAAGACTTATTTAGTTAATTGATTGGTAGTTTGAAAAAGAGTCAAAAACCAAAGTATTACGCGCGCAGTATAAAAATAGAATTGTATTTACAGATTCCTCGGTAAAAATGTACGTCAAGCTAAAGATATTTTGAGTTCTAATTAATATACGGATTATACGGAATTTTTTTTTGTAAAGATTGATTGCAAAGTCAATTTTTTTGATTGATTGTAAAGCCACCATTTTGTGACTGTTATTTTATGCTGTTTATTTAAAGAAAAATAAAATAGTGTTAGAAAATAAAATTTATTAAGGATTTATATATAAAGAAATCAATTAAATTTATTAATTGCATACAAAGTTCTTGAAGTAAGGGCGTAATAAAAAGAGAATTGTCAGTTAGTTCAGTTCTGTAGTTCTATCAGAGGGAACTCTTTTCTTATTTGCTTTTATTCTTGGTTTATTTATGTATTCTTTATTGCATTCCCTATTACAAATGGATACAAAGGGCGGACTTAATGCCATTAGGCATTCTCTACTAGTCAAACCCATGCAGCGGTGAGAGTTCTATTTTTATCTTGCTCGAATAGCAAATAGTATCACAGATGCGTGTTATTTAAATAATCTATTTCTTAGTATCAAATTTAAAACCATTTCTTCTATATTGTAAAAGTAATGTAATGAAAAAGTAGTGTAAAGACCAAAAAGTATATAGTGTACAGATCAATATAAGTCAGCACCAATTTGCGGACCGCATTTGAAACACCATGCAAAATAATAAATTAGACCATATTTTGTTTTTAAAATATCATGTATCTGTTACACGTGATATGCTTTCTATACATTACTGTAATGTATTATTTAATTACTAACAATAACTTTTGCAAGACAAAGTTTCAATAACAAAGCTTATATAAATTTAGGTAAAATATCCGTTAAACGGCTACAAACAACACTTAAAAGTATTTTGTGCATATCACTTTAAAAATTTATAGCAATATTGGTCAATTTCCGTATCAGTAACAATATAAACGGCTTCGTTAGATGTTGGGTACATAAGATGCAGCAAGCAGAGCACATTGACAGAGCACAAAAGACAAACAGCGAGCAAGCAGTCGAGCCACGCTACCTGTTCTGACGGACGAACCCTGCCGCCTCCCAAGTGGAAACTGTCGCGATAATAACGACATATTGCGATTTTTATCCAAATCCGAAATGGAATTTAAAGCAGCATGTGAGGAAATTAGAACAAAATGAACGTTTTGAAATATAATGGAGAAATAAAGTTTCTTGGACAGAACAACAAAAAATAATTCGTCGCCAATATACATGAAACAAAATTTAGAGTAAAAAATAAAAATTATGTTGATGAAATAGTAGATATAGATATTAAGGTGGTTTGATGGAATACTGTGAATTCTAAATGAGGTAGTATATAGTATTGAAATAAAAAATAAAGAGCTATAGGAGAATACCGATGAAATAGGGTGAGACAGTAAGCGTTATTCTGCACATTGATGTTGGTGAAAATGACAATTTTCTGTTCATGTAGTCGCTGAAAACCATTATCCATTTAGAACTCCCGACGTAAGAAGTTAGTTGACATGATGCGGATAATGTTTTTCGTGCGATTGATGAGCAATGATCTTTAAATTTTGTCAAAAAATTTGGGAAGGAGGGGCTAATGTACAGAACAGTAATGGATGAGTGAAATGTTTGTAAAACGGACTTTATTGAGTCTAACGACGCGACGATTAACCTAAAACAATAAAATTATTGAACAATGATTATAATTTTGAAAAAAAAAAAACTGCATATATTATGTAACGAGTAATTGAAAAACGAATAGAATAAATATATGAAGAAGAGATACATAACTAAATAGAGCATTGTGTTGAAACAGAAAATTTTTTATTCAATATAGATTATAAATAATACTTATTGAAAGTCACTCTTTTGATTAATTACCACTGGTTTGAAAAAAAATACCTCTGTCTTGGGAACCAGCCAGCGGGACTTTTTTTTAAAATAACAGCTTACAATCATGTATGTTACACAAATTAACAACACAACAAATTAGAAATAGCTTGGTAGCGATCACCTCATTTCCAGGGGTTATTACCATCTATAAATTCTTTAATATTATAATAACCCTTTTTATACAAACTTAGTTTAACAAAGTTTTTGAACTTTGATCAGGTCAAGTTTTGTATATTTTCTGGAATTTTGTTGTAAAAGCGTATACATCGCCCCACGAATGAATTATTGACTCGATGGAGTCGAGTAACTGGTACTACTAGCTTGTGTCTGTTCCTAGTGTTTACAGAATGAATATCACAAATTTTTGTAAAACTACTTTTGTTTTTGTGTACGTACATAACATTTTCATAAATATATTATAAATTATAATGTGTGTATGTTATAGTGAATAGTAAGTTGAAATTCGTCTAACTAAAAGGAATAACTTGAAATGAATAAAATATTTGGGTCTAGTGATTATAAGAGAAAATTACTCGTATAATGTACAATCTAGTTTAAGATAGCATTACCTCACTAATCCGGAGTTTTCAGAACTCGTTAGCGCCGTGCTCATCGGTGGCCGCAACTGAAACAAATATGTTTTAAATGTTATAAAGGGCTCTTGTCTCTATACATGTTCCCTCGGTTTTAGAGCCTTGTGGAATATTTAGAGGTGATGGCGCCTTACTTGGGAGGGAGGTAAAGCCCTAGTGTGGGATGCTACTTGCGTAGATACTTTGGTGGCCTCTCATCTCATGGGTACCTCATTTAGAACCGGGGCGGCATCAGAGGCAGCTGAACTGAGTAAGCGGCGCAAATATGAGTCTCTGCGAGATGACTACTTATTTGTGCCATTTGCTATAGAGACCTTCGGTCCGTGGGATCCACGTGCAGTGAATTTCCTAAAGGAACTCCATCCGCGACTGGTCGTTGCTGCTGGTGATAAGAGGGCTGGTTCTTTTCTCGCTCAAAGGCTAAGTATAACCATTCAGCGGGGAAACGCAGCCAGTGTTCTTGGCATAATACCGCGGGGAGTAGGACTGTATGATAAGAAAGTTACTAGTTTTAGTTGGTGTGTGATGTTTACTAATAAATCATTCAAAATATTTCTTATATACTTATATAAGGGCAAATACGCTTCCTTCCTTACACTATTAATTATAATTTTTTCATAATGTACGATGCAATCAAGACTCATATGAATTATTACGTTCCCAACGGTCATGCTTTGGTTTATATTTTTTTTTATAGGATAAGGGTGACAAACGAGCACACAGTCCACCTGATGGTAAGTGGTTGTTGCGGCCCATAGACATCTACATCTATCCTCTATTACAAATCAAAATGTAGATGAGTTGTCACCCGTGAGGACTAAGATGGAATGCCTCATTTCCAGTAAAAAGGGCCTCCGGCCACCTGCACTCACTGCTCACTGCAGCGAAACGCAGAGGTAAACCTCTACTTCACGCTGGTTTTCTGTGAGGTCGTGGTATCACCCCGATTCGAGCTGGCCCAATTGTGCGACAGAAAAAGCTACCGCGTGGCTCTACCACTGTTTATATCATCACCAATAGCACTACAGCCTATAAAAGTCCACTGCTGAACATAGGCCTCCCACATGGAGTTCTTTAGAAAACAAACATCTATAGAAGCAACACTTTTCACGCCGCTACTAAATGGCATTTCGCATAGTGCGGATTTATTAATATTTCTTCAAATCGCACTACCAGATAGACGTCCCGCATCTCTAACGCTGCTGCTGATCGCGATCGCCAGTAAAGTTCTGGAGTAAACGGGATACTTATACCGCCACCAAGTCACGAGATATATCCCACCCATACGTGTGTTACGCGCAACGCAACGAAATGGAGTGGTAGATCATTTTATCCACGACAATAGCTAGAACCATTTCCTAGAATAAGGGTGACAAACGAGCAGACCTGATGGTAAGTGGATGCTGTGATCCGAAAAAATTCATTCATATATTTCATCTATATCAATTAAGCATCAAAATGCAGATGCGTGTTACCCCTGAGGACTAAGATGGCATGCCTCGTTGTCAGTGAAAAGGGTCTCTAGTTCACTCCACTCACAATACGAAACACAGCAGCATTAAGTTCATATTTCACGCTGGTATTCTGTGAGAGCGTGGTACTTCCCCGATCGAATCGATCGATTTGTGCTACAGCCATCATTTAGCTGCAGCGTGGCTATATCACGCATATAGTTCTAATAAGCCCTACATTAGTTATCATTATGCCTAAAATTACGATATGAATCGTACTCTAAAAAAGCAACTCCAATCATCATTATTGGGGCCTAAGCGGCGGGCGCTGCGGTTCTTCTTCGCTTTATATATGTAAGGTCTAAAGTGAGACCGATATTTCCGTACGACTTAACATTAAAAAGATCCCTCGCATTACTCCTTCATAGAGAAAAATTCTCATATGGACTATCGTTGTCATTCCTTGGAGCTGATATAAAAATGTCTTCAGTCGTAGCAAAGACAAACATTGTTGAGTATTAGCTGGTATGAGACGCAATAAATTCATTATCTTCCACGGGCAGAGGTTATTTTTTTGTATTCTAGATAGTAGGAATATTCTTCTGTTTACAAGGTTATGTTACCTTCTTGCCTATGTAAAGGGTTTAGTGAACCAGACAACAGGTTTCTTTCAAGTAAATTGCACATGAAAACTGCGCGCATTAGAAAAACATTATTGATACGAGCGACGTCAGAAATAGGTTAGGAGTGGTATCTATTTCGGCAGACTCCATAGCAGAAGAGTACCCATCACCATGTAAAGTAAATGTAAAGTCAATATTTTAACTGGTATATTCTCTGCAAGAATTTGCCGACATAGGCGAAATGTATTGCGACAATCAAATTCTTTTAGAAACTGATTTTTTTTAATTTAAAATTGAAGTAAATCAAAATTCATGATGGCTACACATGTGTTGTCACTGAGGACTACAATTAAATGGTTTTCAGTCTGTAATTATATTAGAGATAATCTTTAGAATAGAATAAAGCAGTGCACGTATTGCTAATTGGCAGGCCAGACGGAGTTCCACTTAGTTCATCAATAGTAATGTCTTATACTAAACGATTATAGTGCCCGAGCGTATAAGCGCGAACACAGTCGCACTCTCTATTCTCTTACTCTCATACAACTACATACTTATCTATGTGCTTCCCGAGACACGAGCAACACCAGGGTGAAATACGATCAAATTCCTGATTGCTACTGATTGTTTCTTGATAGAAAAATCCAATTTTGGCTCGACCCGGAATTCGAATGACGGACCTCATGATCAGCAATCCCGTTTCCGAGCACGAGTCACGAGTCGAGTAGGAGTGAGTCACGCGGGCTACAGCACGGTGCAGCTGTGCTAGAGAGAGTAAGCAAGAGCAAGGAGTGGTGGTACCCGGTCGGTCTGCGTGGCGACGGTGACGGTGTCGTCGTGGCGCGGCTCGTGCGCGCCGGCCAGCCGCAGCATCTGCTGCTGCAGCACGCGCACCAGCCGGTCGCGCTCCTCCAGCTGACTCTGCCGCGGAAAACACAACACTGCTTTATTGCATTTGGCTACATTGGACAAAATCTCCCCGAACGGGTTCCCGCCTTGTCGTGGTACCAAGTTACGGCTTCGTAGCAGTAACTTGGTTACCCACTGTGAATAAAGAGGTACCCACCCAGCCATGTGCCGACCCAAGGTGGCCGCTCTGAGTGGGCTTGGCGAGCCTACTTTGGATGTGTGTTGGTGGGCTGTGGCGAGAGGGGCTTCTTCTCCCCCTACCGCTGCAGGCGACGTGGAGTCGTGAAGGAAGAGGAGTGTGATATAGCTAACCTAACTTCCACGACTCTGGCGTGGATGCGATGGTGGCGGGGCTTCAGGAAGAGAGGAGTGTCGGTATTACGAGGAAACGCTCTCCCTACCGCGCGGAGCAGCTTAATCTTGTATGGCCAGGAAAGCCAGTACTTCTAGAGTGCTCGTTTGTCCTTGCCCCATGGCCTTCGCGCGTCGGACACAGGAGCGTTCGTTGCACAGGTTAAGTTGAAGGCCGCGGAGGATCACGCGCCATGTGTTCTGGTGCACCAGATGAAGAGCAGTAATCCTCTCTCAATGAGGGGCCGCCATAGGGCAGCCGGCGCTGTTAGGACCGCGGATATATTGTGTGTTGCTACACATCTCCTGTTTTATTTACCTCTGTCTGCTCTTAGGACACCCACGAGATGATACCTATGGACATTTTAAGATTTGAAACAATTGTCTTCCAAATACCGATATTATCTACATGTGGTACAATGTAGTGCGTTGCTTATTGGTGAATGAAACAATTACGATCGACAAGTAGCGATAAATCAATTCGAAAATGATGCGACAAATCGACATTCTGGAACAGTATTTCATTATACTGCTCCCTTTGCACTAATACCCCTCGCAAACTAAGATGTTTTAAAGTATAGATACGTCATACTCGCTCTAAAATGGCAATACGAAAGTCAGGTAATTGCCCGACTCACATTCAGTCGGGCACGCTCTCGCGTCGCGGCTATACCTTCACTACAGCGCGTAAATCTTCTAGTTATTCGTGATAAAAATGCCTTCCTGTGTTTTTAGAGATATATATAGATAGCCGTGTCTGCAGATATTAGGGAAATGTTCTTACGTGTGAAAATCGACCGTCGCGACCAACCCGCGCAATTGTTTCTCTGGCGAGGAAACGAGCGACACAGCCCACCACGGGAGTATGTTATGACGTCAATGATTTTCGGCGCGAGGAGCTCGCCGTTTCTCGCACATAGTGTTAGAGATTATAACGCGCGCGCACACGCAGAGACATACCCGTTGGTGCTTAACGCTATCGTACGTAGTCATTATATGGACGACTATTTAGACAGTTATGCAACGGTAGAGGGAGCGGTATATACGGCAAGGCAGGTTACGGAAGTGCCCCAGAAGGCCGGTTTCACCTTGGCAGGCTGGAATTCTAACCACGCAGCCCTATTGGAAGACAAGCCAGAGGAACTACTGGCGAGCAAGCCTAAGGAAGTAGGCTTAAGGCAAGACAGCCCGGGCAGAACCCTAGGGTATTGTTATGGATGGCCGACGAAGACGCCCTGAAGGTTAGGGCGTCTTGAATAGGACCTCCTTGAACACCTCGATGAATAGGGTGCCGCAGGAAGTAAAGGCGCTACAGCTACCACCGAACAAGAGGGAAGCATTAAGCGCAGTCATGTCTGTGTTTGACCCACTCGGACTGCTTAGCTACCTCACCATCACCGCCAAGACCCTGCTACAAGACCTATGGCGAATGAAGAAGGTCGGATGGGATGACGAACTACCCGAGGAGGCAGCGGATGAATTCCAGAGGTGGCTGCGAGTCGTCGAGGAAGTGTCACGACTGCGACTGCCAAGGTGCTATGCTCCTACGGGGGGAGTGGTAGAGCGTCAACTTCACGTATTTAACGACGCAAGCGAACGTGCGTACGCATCCGCGGCATATTGGCGAATACGATACAGCGACGTAACGGTTAGGGTACGATTAGTGGCGGCCAAGGCGAAAGTTGCTCCGATTAAGGCGCAAAGAATACCGCGATTAGAGTTGCAGGAGAATTTGATAGGCGCGCGACACGCGGAATTCGTGCAAGGCGAGCACAGAGTGGTAGCAGATAGGGTAGTATATTGGACAGACTCTACTACGGCACTCCACTGGATACAAAATGATACGGCGCGTTACATGCCATACGTGACTCATCGGTTAGGGGAGATAGCTGAAAAGACATCACCCGAGCAATGGAGGTGGATACTGACTGCGGAGAACATAGCAGATCAGGCAAAGCGCATGAACTTCGTGACCAAAGAAGAAAGCGACCAATGGTTCACAGGACCGTCATTTCTTTATGAGGACGAAGACAAATGGTCTCACCGGAAGGAAGAGAAGGCGGGGGATGATGAAGAGTTGCAGGAAATCGTGGCGCACCAGAGCGACACCAAGGACGCTTCACACCTGCCAGACATAGAACGATTCTCTTCCTACGAGAGATTGATCAGGGCCACAGCACGAGTACTGCAGTTCGCGAGGAAGGGCACAAGGACTGACATTGCAGCACATCCAGAGGGCAGAGCGGATGTGGATAGAACATAGCCAACGTGAAAGCTTCGCTGAAGACATCAGCCGCATTCAGCGGGGAAAGAACCTGGCCACCCGCAGCGCACTGAGGAAGCTCGACCCCATATTGGAAGATGGAATGCTACGAGCCAGGGGATGAATCGACGCAGCCGACGTGGACGGCCAGATGAAGAGACCCATCATACTGAATGGACGCCACCAATTCGTGAAGCTGCTTGTGGAGAAGGCGCATCAGGAAGCAAGCCACGCCAACAGAGAGAGGGTGGTCAACGATCTACGCACCAGGTTTCATATCCTCCGATTACGGCCTACCGTACGAGAAGCGGAGCGGAGATGCCAGCGGTGCAGGGTACGCAAGGCGATACCACGGCCTGCGGTTACAGGAGACCTACCACCCGAACGGTTAGGGGCGTTTGTGCGACCATTTACGTACACCGGAATCGACCATTTCGGGCCTCTGATAGTTACGATAGGACGACGGCACGAAAAACTGTGGGTAGCACTATTCACGTGCTTAAAGACGCGCGCGGTTCATTTAGAACTAGTTTACTCCCTGACAACAGACTCGGCGATATCGGCGTTGCGGCGCATGGCGGCTAGGCGTGGGTGGCCACGGGTCATATACTCCGACAATGGCACAAATTTTCATGGGGCAAATACTGAACTGCAACGGGCGATGGAAGAGTGGGCACCGCAGCTGAAGGACTACGCGCTGACTCGGCGGACAGAATCGAAATTCATCGCACCGGGCGCGCCTAACCAGGGAGGCGCATGGGATCGTCTCGTGCGCTCAGTGAAGACCACACTCGAAGCCACTGTACATCAAAAGAGCCTACGGCAGGAGACGTTAGCGACGCTCCTGACAGAAGCAGAGAACACAGTAAACTCTCGACCGTTGACGCACGTACCAGTCGATATCAACGACGAAGAGGCGCTGACACCCAACCACTTCATACTGTTGGGACCATCGGGCCTACCAGTCACCGCGCCGTGCACACCCATTGATCGTCGGGCGTGGAGAGCGGCGTAGGGGCTCGCCGACGAGTACTGGAGGCGCAAGGTGAAAGAGTACCTGCCGACGTTGGTTGCGCTCGGGGACTCCCGAGATGCTCAGCAGCGCCAAATTCAAAAAGAGGACCTCGTCGTGGTTGCGAACGGCAACCTACCAAGAAACGTGTGGCAGCGGGGGGTCGTCACGAAGACATTTCCTGGATCGGACGGCGTGGTGCGCAACGTCGAGGTCAGGACTAAGGGCGGAGTGCTGCGGCGACCCGTCAGGAAGATAGCCGTCCTCCCGAGGGAAGCTTAGGCTCGCAGGCTACGCCGGGAGGAGGATGTTACGGACAGCGAGGGGAACCGCTGCCCCGTCGCCCCTTCATACGCCGTTGCGCCCCGCGCACCCCGCACACCAGCAGCAGATCACGCGATGTCGCCGACCAATCAGCGCGCGGCATCGCCTCACGACGCTACTCACATACTGAACGAGCTCTTGCGAGATATAAGAAGGGCGTTTTGGTCTGTGAGCTGTTCATTTCGGAAGCGGCACTCGAAGACAACAGCAAGCGAAGAAATTAAGAGAAGTCAAGAGAAGATTGTAGAGTGAAGACTCCCCTCTCTGTATATAGTTTATTAGCTCTGCATTTGTAAATATTTGAATACAGTATAGTCTACAGTACCATCTTTCCTTTAAGCAGTCCCCTAGCGTAGTATACCTCAGTTAGTTAGTCAGTCATACAGTCCACTTGCAACAGTTAAATACATACAGTCCACTACAGTCCCTAATAATTATATTATGTTAAACATAATTTTCGGTGATTTTGTATTTTAATTTTTTTAATCTTTTTATCTTCTAAAATTATCTGTTTTAACGTATTTCCTTTTCCTGTGTCAAAGACACGGGACAACGACAATACGACACATCTAGACCAGAGAACAACAGATATAAGAACCACAACTTTTGTGTTGGTGGATGCATATTGTTATGTATATTGTGGTGTATGCATGTTGTATTAGGGCTTTGTGAATTGTGTCATTCTAGACTCGTTACGAAGCGGCCATATAGTCGTATGTTTCTTAGGGCACGAAGTTCGTTGCCATAAATATCGCGTACTAAAAATCGCTTACTTTAAGACTTTAAGCAATATTTATAAAACAAGGGACTGTTTTTATATTAAGGCCTTATGGCCTGTTCGTGTTATAATTTTTTGTACTTCATCATTTTATTAGCGAAGACAACAAAATAAAGTAACTCTCAATCTGAGGAAGGGTAAATTGAAAGGATTATAAAGTTCATTTTTGCTATAGTCAAAACCAAATCATTCCCAATAAATCAAATTTAGTCTTTATTGGAATAATATTGAGCTGTCTAGAATGATTTTTATTGCCCTTATTTTAATGTACAACATTATCCGTTATTGTATTGACGACCGTGTGGTCTGAGCACATAACTGTTTCACTGCGAGTTTTGGGCTTCATTTAAATTTCAGTCTGAGCCAATTGTCAAATTGGTGGTTTTTGGATTTGATTGTTGTGTCATAGACCCGGGAAAATACTATAAGTATTTGCAATTTGTCAATTATGAGTTGCTCATGAAATCTTCACACTATATTTATCAATCTAACAAACTATTCATTAATCCATTTATCTATATAACCATCCTCCGTCTAATTGTTTCACCAATCTGTTTGTATATCCATGTAGATACCCTACCTATCTATTTATCCATTGATATATGTATGTATAGAATTTTTATCTCACGATGGGCTTGCTCGCACGGGTACCGGGTTGGTCTAACTTGTAGTGTAGGTGTGAGAATATCCACATTCCTATATTGTCGAATGGGTGTCGTAAGACGCGGCAGAGGAAAACAAACCTGGAGATGGTTAGCAGCATCCTCCTAATACCAATAAAAAATAAACAAAACCGTGTTTGCCAAACCCAACCACCAAGCGTGCCTATGCTCAGCAGTGGGTTTTTGATATGCTGCAACGGTAACAGTACCTGCATCGATCACTAATAAAAAACTAGATAAACAATCAGTGACAAAAATGACCTTACCGAAAGAGCGCCCACTCGAACATTTGGGTGTGCTTTTAATTTGTACGTAGGTACCTTTGTGAATACAACTTTAGTCAATGCATTTAAGGTTGAATTTACATTAATGTATATTTATTTCAACTAGAATTACGTCAAAACAATTGGTGATAGTTTTTAGAGAACTTTTGCATGAGATTGTGTATCTAGTTTTTTACTAGTGATCGATGAGTACCTGTTATAATGGAAAGTAAACGAGGAAAACTTATTCGCAGTGATATAAGAAGGTTTGTGTCATTATTTTTTTAGTTTTGTTAAATGTAGATGAGAAAGTTGTGTCTGTTCCAGTAAATGCACGTCGCTTGGAGAAATTTAGAAGTAACATAGTGAAAAAACTTCCATCACTTTCATACCAAAATGATCCTAATTTAATGTATGGAACATTATTTAAGCTTATTTGCAATGAATTTAATAATACTTTTACTTCTAAAACATTCTCCTTGAACAGTCGGAAGTCATTCAATGAATGGGCGACAGTAGGAGTCCATAAGAGCAGGCATAGGTTATATGATCTTTACCATGAAAGGTCATATAATCATAGCGTCGAATTTAGGGAATATGTAAAAAAATATTCAAAAATATTTAAAAGAGTGTGCTCCATAGCCAAGTCTTTGCATTTGAGCAACAAAATTAAGACGGCTTCCAATAAAATTAAAATGACATGGAGTATAATTAATAGCGAAACTGGTAAGATCAACTCTCGCAATTCAAATTACCAGTTAAGTGTTAACAACAAATTAACTGTATCAGATCAGGACGTAGCAATGGTTTTCGAGAAATATTTTACTGATATTCCGATCTTAACCACTAAGTCACTGAATTCTTCTCCTGCCGTCGCCGAATCATTACTTAAACAAAATGTAAATGTGTGTACAAAGAATTTTACATTTCATAAAGTGTCATCAAAAGATATTGTAAAATATTTTAAAACTATTGATGTTAAGAAAACTGCGGATCTGTGGGGGATTTCCGTTAAAGTTATTGCGTCTATAATAGATACAATCGCGCCTCATTTAGCTATTATTTTTAATACTAGTATCGAATCTGGTGTGTTTCCTGATTTAATGAAGCATAGTAAAGTAATACCTTTATTTAAATCTGGTAGTACATTAGACCCCGCCAATTTTAGACCTATTTCTGTACTACCAACACTTAGTAAGATTTTTGAAAAAATTGTTCTTGTTCAAATGTTACATTTTTTTAATATAAATAATTTACTTCATAAAAATCAATTTGGTTTCACAAGGGGTCGCTCGACAACTGATGCCGGTGTTGAGCTGATTAAATATATCTTTAATGCATGGGAGAATTCACAGGATGCTTTGGGTATATTTTGTGACCTATCCAAGGCCTTCGATTGTGTTCACCATGAAACATTAATCAGGAAACTTCAACACTACGGTGTAAGAAGTGATGCCCTTAAATTAATTATTTCATATTTAAGTAAGAGAACGCAAAAAGTTGTCATTAACAATATGAGCTCTTCCGGATTGATGGTACAAATGGGCGTGCCTCAAGGCTCAATTCTCGGCCCCTTTCTGTTTCTTGTATACATTAATGACTTACCTTACATAGTAGGGGATAACCATGATATAGTATTATTTGCAGATGACACTTCTTTAATTTTCAAATTAAGTCGACAGTTACTAAAATATGACGAAGTAAATAATGCTATCTCTAAATTAGTAAATTGGTTCGATGTTAATAATTTGCATTTAAATGGCACTAAAACAAAATGTATGAAATTCGTGACTCCAAATGTCAAACAATTAAATACTAATGTAATTTTAAATGGGGAGAAACTGAGTCTTGTAGATACCACCATTTTTCTTGGAATCACACTAGACGCGAATCTTCAATGGAGCCCCCATATATCAAAACTAGCAAGCAGACTTAGTTCTGCAGCATATGCTGTAAAAAAGATTAGAAGTTTAACCAGTGTTGAAACAGCTAGACTAGTTTACTTCAGCTACTTCCATAGCATAATGTCGTATGGTATTTTGCTATGGGGACACGCAGCTGACACTGAAATTATATTTGTTTTGCAGAAGAGGGCCATAAGAGCAATTTATGATTTAAAGTCTAAAGAGACGCTGCGACAAAAATTTAAGGAAATTAATATATTAACTTTGGCCTCTCAATACATTTATGAAAATGTAATGTACGTACACAAAAATAAAAGTAGTTTTACAAAAATAAGTGATATTCATTCTGTAAATACTAGGAACAGACACAAGCTAGTAGTACCAGTTACTCGACTCCATCGAGTCAGTAATTCATTCTTGGGGCGATGTATACGCTTTTACAACAAAATTCCAGAAAATATACAAAGTTTGACCTGTTCAAAGTTCAAAAACTTTATTAAACTAAGTTTGTATAAAAAGGGTTATTATAATATTAAGGAATTTATGGATGATAATAACCCCTGGAAATGAGGTGATCGCTACCAAGCTATTTCTAATTTGTTGTGTTGTTAATTTGTGTAACATCATGATTGTAAGCTGTTATTTAAAAAAAAAGTCCCGCTGGGTTTCTTGCTGGTTCTTCCCAGGACAGAGGTTTTTTCCGAACCAGTGGTAATCAAACAAAAGAGTGACTTTCAATAAGTATTATTTATAATCTATATTGAATAAAAAAGTTTCTGTTTCTGTTTCTGCTTTCTTCCTACTATTGTTTTATATAATTTACGAGTACATTGGAGCAGTATTGTAACTTAGTTTTAGATGAAGGCTATGGTCTTCTATAGTTTAAGGAGCACGCCAGTTTTAATTATTCTAGATTTTAATCGACATATTATTGTACTGTGTATCTTTTGTTGGAGGTCATTAAAAATAAATAAACAAAAATAATTAATGTGTACTTTGCTTAGTAGCAGAGTAAGGTTCGGTTAACTTTTCTGTAGCATCATCATAAATTAACAGTGTACAAAAGTACTTTTTATAGAAGGAGGGACGAGCACACAACCCACCTGATGATAATTGGACGCTGTGGTCCATAGACATCTACATTTATTCTTGATTAAGAATCGTGGATGCGTTATCACCTTTTATAACTAGGATTGAATGCCGCGTTTCGAGTAAGAGGGTCTCCGGTTCTCTACACTGACCAAAAAATACAGCAGAATTAGGCTGTTATTCGCGCTACAACCATGATATAGGTGCAGCATGGCTCTATCATGTGTACTTTGTATTGTATTGATGAATCCATGCATGCGCGCGCCTTGTGTGTATAGTGTGTAGTGTGTAAAGACATGTGTAACTAATTGCGCCAACTCAGCTGCGCCGGATCTCACTTTTTCAAAATGTGTTGGCACACAGCACAGAACTGGGAAATTCGAAAGATGTTAAGATTTGAGTTGTCCGCAGAATGCAGAAGAGAATTATTGAACACTTGTGGTATTGAACGAATTTTTATTATTTTTATAAACTGAGAAAGGAGTGATAATGATAGGTAATCTTCCTTTCCTACATTTATTTTACGAACTGGCGCCAGTTTTATTTTGACAGACGGCTGAGTTGACAGCTGTGTGTAAAATTTGTTGCACCATGGCGTAATTTGACGCAGTAAAGTGCGCCCGAGTTACTGAATTAAGGCACGGAATCTGGCTGAGTGAGCCATGTGTAAGTGTAGCGTGTACCTGCAGGTAGAGTATCTGGCGGCGCATCTCGGCGCAGGCGTCGGGCGGCAGCGCGGGCGCGGGGGGGCGGCGCCCGTTGCCGCGCGCGGGGCTCTCCGCGCACGCCGCCAGCAACGGGTCGAGAGTTTCGCTCTGCAACACATTCACCTGCGATTCTAACTCCACTCTATTAAACATTACCCACGTTTGTGTTAAGCCAAGGATTTCCTACGTTATTAAATCTTTAAGCACTTCCTTCTTCGCTGTGTGTACATATTTTCCGGTACGAAGTGCGTGCGCCATTTGTTGGACAAAAGTTACTTACATGAAATAAAGGATTTAAACAAAAACTTTGCCGATTAAGAAGCTAATTTTTGTTCTTTTTAAAAAAAATCTAGTAATGTTATTAAACATTACTAATATTCCTTTTAAACACTTCTGTTAAGCTTAAAATGCTTGTGTTAGAAATGATTCACGACAGTAGTCAAATGGCGGATTCGAACCCAACACCTTTCGAGTTCGTGGTCCGCGCCCTGCCATTAGGCTACTGACGCTTAATCAATAACATGCCTTTCATATTATGATTTATTTGAAAAAACATTTTATGTTATCGGTTAGAAAAACGAGGAATTGATCATTAAAGTATTTTCACAAAACTTAGATTATATATTTTTTATCTCGATTAATATAAATTTTTTAAGAATATAATTGAGTATTTCATGTAGGCGCATATTTTTCTGAGTTTATATTTCATGAATTATCAATTCTCGAGCGTCAAAATCGTACCTAATGTTTATGTTCAGCCTGGCCTTAAGACACGCGTATGTTTCACAGTGCAAATTAAATTTTAATGATGCAGCATTCATTTTACAATTTTATTTGCATTGTTTGAAAAGTAAATTATTTACTAAAAACGAAAGTTTGATGAATGTAGTGTTTGTTAGAAGATTTCTTGATGATGAGTTAAGATACTATTATAGTGGATCATTTGGAGAAAAAGTTCTCACCTCCGTAGGTGAGAACCTCGCTGAATTAGTGTATTTCAGACGACCAACTGATGTCAAAAAGACTATTCAAAAAAAAAATAAAAACTCGAGCCCGAATTTAAAAAAAATGTTGAGGCAGCAAAATTTACAAAATAACCGAATTAGCCCCAAAATTCTGAACCAACTGAAGTATTGAGTGGCTTTAAAATACATATACTCACATAAAAAGAAGGAAAGAAATCTATTCTTTAGAGATTCTTCGCGTATTTTATTATCATTGACATACTTATATAGATTACTCAATTGCACTTATTGTTTGTCGTCCGTCGTTATACATGTAACATGTTACTTTGCCATTATTAGAGATATTATTTCAGAGATTTTCTATATAACCTTTTATGCAAAATTTAATGTTGTATATTCCTAAAATTTTAACTGCCTATCTTTTTTGTTAAAATTCTATATTTTGCTTTTCGTACAATTATACTCGTATTATCAGAAAGTCGAGATAACTATTGCTAAAATTCTTTGATTAAATTAATTTTGAAGCTTTATATTATATTTAACTTGAAATAGAGAGTGGAACTTCATTGAGTTAGTGGAACTTATAATTATTAAGAGAGTGAAAATGTGTGAAAAGAAAATATACTTTTTTTTTAATATACTCACATCTTCCATATAAAAACGAATAACACATTGTATGTACATAATATACCTTTTGACTATTTATCGACCTAGAGATGAATTAAATGTTCTCTATTAAATGTATTCATTCAGTAAATTTCTTAAGTTATGTCGCTGATGAAGCATAACAAATATTTTATTTGATAACAAACTACCAACAACATTTCGTATTGTTGTTTATTTCTGTATTATTTAAGGGTAATACTTATTGGTTATCACGGATAAGTTATCTGGAGCGATAATAAGTTCTATCGTATTATCTTCAAGAACAGATAATGAATGTAGAAAATATTTTTATTCGTCACAAACAACTTTATTTTCTTCTTTTAGAAAAAATATTATAAACGACAAACGTGGGCGACTTTTTTAGCCAATACAATCACTAGTTATGGAACTTTAGTTCAGATGACGCATAAATGTTAACGCAAAGATTGCCACGAACCACATTTTTAATTGTCTTAACTAGTTGCGTTATAAGGAGCGATTGTATTGAGGCAAACACAAATTTACAATGCATATTAGCAAATTGTGGTATTTCTTAGCTTATAACTAGAAGATTTTACTATTTTCGTCGGTATTTGATGTTTTATGTTTTTAATATTTATTGGTTACAAAAATTCATTACCATATTATACTAGTAAAAATTTACGTCTGAATATATTCTTTAATGTAATAATCTATACATGTAAATACAATTGAATTGTCTGTCTGTAATATAGAAATCTGTGTATAAGTCTGCCTGTCCGGGCTAATTTTCGGAATGGTCGAACTGAATACTATGAACAAATAGGGAGCAATGCCAGGAGTGATCTAACTACTGATAAAATGAACGTTCTTTGATTATAATCGTTAATCTAAATAACGCCACCTTAATGGATCCTACCCAGGTGAAGACGGGACGGGTGACTAGTAGAAATATAAATTACTTAAATTAATTCGTGCAAATCCTAAGCAACCTATAGAAATTATTACCATAAATTTCTTTGCAAGGAAGAAGAATAGCCTTAGTGTTTTACGTTTAAAAAAGTGCAGTGCATCAATGTTACTTACACTCATCGAATGATGCTCCTCCCCGGGCTGCGTGCGGCAAACAAGGCGATGCAACCAAATAAACAAAAACATTACAAAACAAGAAAACAAAAAAAAAATGTGCAAACTCAAGCAGAATTAATGTTTCAAAATCATTCAGGCATTTTTACAAATAAAACAAAAAGTAAAACTAACAACAATTAATTATATTTGTTTTACCGAAAAAATATTTACATAAGTTGTTAGATGCGGAATAAAGCACAATTACAATAAAGCAAAAACCTTGGGAATATTCACCATGAACTTTATGAACTATAATAAAAAAAAGATCTAACCAGATTTATGCTTGCAATTGTACTAGTGGTTACTTCCTTTTGATTTAGGTTTATTAAATAAACATACTAAATTAACTTTATGCTACTTGTTATAGTAACAGGATGAAAGTTCATCTTTTCATAAGTATGCATGCAAGTCTTGATAAGAATGTGAATTGTGCTAGATTGCACAAGCTTTCTGTCCGAGTAAAGAAAATGTGTAAATCGGGTTTTATCGCACCTACGTATAACTTAAAAGGTAACATCAAGTTGATTACATAATGTTTTTTAGGACTTCTTTAGTGTCCACGGTAGTTAAATACATTAGCGTTACAAAACATAATATTACGATATGTATAATGAAACATGAGATGTAAAAAAGAAAGATAAAAGAAAACTTAATAAACAATATTATTAAAACTTTTGTGAGTTTTCTAGGTAAAGTTCTATAAAACAAGATATAAAAAAATAATATACGAGTAAAGATACAATTAAAAACTAAAATATTCGGTTAACACTTCGATGTTAATTTCGGCACTTAAGAGGCGTATTACAAAAACCGCGAAATTACAAGGTTTTCTCGTTGAAATTGTATGTTTATCGTTCGTTGCTTGAAATAACAATTACTTGGTAAAATAGTTCGTTTTCTTTTCTCAAATAAGCTCAAAGCGAATTTTAGATAACTTATTTATTTATTCAGTAATAATCATTCTCCCGATGCATGTTTAGGCAAAATCTCTCGCAGACATGATTTGGGAGCTCTAATTTGTAGATTCTATTGAATATCGACCATCAAAAAAATATATTTATATCTTCCAAATATCCTATACTTTAATAATTATAGAATACATTTTCGTTATATGCCTTTCACGCTAGTAAAAAAAATAGACATAATTCAAAAAACGACCGAAAAAAAAATTTTGACGTAAAATTTATTATACTTATTACTTTAAATCTTTAAACTTTAAACATTCTCTGCTGGATGCTGCTATTGATTTTAAATAATTAATATAGTAATTGATTTTTTACTTTAGAAATAAGAATCTATTAAATTATTTTAAAACCACTGAGTCGTCTGGGCTTTTGATTACATTGCTTCACTAATGATTGATGTTCTATGACAAGTTTTATAAAATACTAGTTGATACCCATAACTTCGTCCGCTTTGCTTGATATATCAAGAAAATACACATTACTGAACACGTACTGCTTATAAAAATCTTTGCTTCCTAAAACTTTAATAACTTTATATTAAATGAAAGTAAGGGCCAAGTGTCTAAGAAATACAACTTAGAAAACCTAACAGAAATATATACAGTAGTTTTTCCGTGATGCGCGCACAACTGGAAACCTCCATCATTTTATTTATATAGATATATTTGATGAACATTATCAAAGAATTTTAAGAAATATTAATGGAAATAATTAAGAGAGTGCAACGATATTGGAAAATACGAAAAATTACATTTACATGCTACCTGAAAGAGTAATAACCAAAAATACATTACACATACAACTACATAAACCAAAATATGTATTATGCATCTATAATATAAATACAGAACGAATGTAAAATATTATCTTATTTCCATAACATATTGTAGGAAGGTAGATAAAAGAATAAGGCATACATTTTGCAGTAGTGTTGTCCAAAATATAGGATGTATAAAGCAATTTTTTCCATTTAATTTTCTTGCACTATTTATTTTAATTTTATATTTCCTAAAGTTTATAAGTTCTGTAGTATAATGAAAGTGACATCATCCATTGACAACAACTTTAAGTTATTGGGTGAAGTCATCGGTATTAGTTTTGATGCTTTTACTGCTTCGTCAGTCTTAAAGATGTTAGTAACATGGAGGCCGCAAGGTGAATTAAATATTTATTTAGGTATTGACAGTGATTTTGCCCTCATTACTCTCGCAAAGCTTCTTTATCTCAGTGTAATAGGTTATCAATACGCTATCCAAGTCCAAATATAGTTAAAGTATTGACTTGTCATGTACCACGATTTGGATACAATATATTGATTTAAGTGTTATGAAATCAAATACGTATGTAGAACACACATTTTTCATCTTCTATTCTACTATGTATATATTTCCTTGAGAATTCTATGGAAATTGGCGTCGTTAATAAGCAGTTTTAGTACAAATCTGGTAAAACGAATTTTTTTTTACATAGCGAACAAAATTTACCTCCTGTAAGACCCGCTTGAGCTGCAAGAGTAGGGTCTTGATATCGACGACGTCCTGCAGCAGGGACGATGGTGCCGGCGCGGGTGATGCGCTGCCATCGCTCGCCGCCTCCGATGGAGTTGTTGTGCGTGAGCGCTGAAGCAGGCGGGCCGTGCGAACTGGTAGACTGGCCCTGAATTTTAAGAGTTTATTAATTAAAAGACATGAATAGATAACTAATTTCATAAACATAATAAACGTAAAATACATGCTACAAAAGTTTCGCACGCAGTGTCCACACGCGAACGCAAGGACAGATTTGTCGATTCGAAATTGCTTGACATAAACAATTAAAGAATAAAAATATAACTGTCGGGGACTTTAACGTTGTGCTTCAAAAGCCAACCCCTGAGTGGTTGAAAATGTATAAAAAAATTATTGAATTCTTCATTGAGTTTAAACGTGGTAGAGCCATGTTGCAGCTATATTAGTGGTATAGTTGTAGCACGAATGGGTCGGCTCTCACAGAATACCAGCGTCAAATAGCAGCTTCATGGTGCTGTGTTTCGTATGGTGAGTGTAGAGAACCGGAGACCCTTTTTACTGGAAAAGAGGCATTCTATCTTAGTCCTCACGGGTGAAAACGAATCTGCATTTTGATTTGCAAACGAGGATAAATGCAGATGTCTATGGGCAACAGCAACCACTTACCATCAGGTGGACTGTGTGCTCGTTTGTCACCCTATCCTATAAAAAAAAGTTCACATTATACCATGAGACATAAACTACAAGTATGCTATCAAATAGGTTATTCATTAAATCATTAATTAGAAATGGGATACATATACATACTCTTCTAGATATCATACTTTGTATTCGTAGGTAGTACCTATATTTGCTAATATTAATATAGAATAGAAAAAACTCATAGCATTTTTTCTAAAATTAGGCTTTTCAAATATAAAGTAACTGAATTATATTAGGCGGAATATACAATGCAGAAAAGTACTGTATTTGAAAAATAACGTTTTTGGAAATTTTTGTAGTCGAAAAAGAAGGTTTCTCTCATGTGCCACTCGGCCACCCGTGGACCGGAGAGGAGTAGCCATAAGTAGACGTTCCCCTCTATCAATGTATAAGTCCACGCGGTCTTCTATGCATAAAATACAACTAGTTGCATTTCTAGCCGCACTGCTCACTAGACTAAATCTAGTTGCGCGGCTAAATCAACGTCCTACAAAAATAACGAATGTTCATTTCGCTGCAAAAAGAGATCTGCCACGTCAAATTAACAAAAAGATACGAGTTATACGCGTTATTTTTCATATAATTAATTTTTAATCACATTATTTCTATTTTATCATTATTTTCTTAAAATTAAAAAATACAATAAGAACGTTATTTTGTTTACAATTACACAGGCTGCTCGCCCTGATACAATATGCAGATCGGTCCAGCGACTGATCCGAGTCTGTATCCGAGTTGTCGCTGTCACCGTGCGATAGTATTGTAGTATTATAATCTATGTGCCAAATTGACAAATTAATGCAATTGCAAAATGCAAAGATATATATTGTTTTATTGATGTGTGTGAGGTTTGTAGTGACAGATGTTTGTGTGTGCGAAAATTTCCCCCATACAGATATTTCTGTATCGGGAAAAATGCTATGGCTACTCCGCTCCGGTCCGCCGGTGGCTCGTATTGCTCTATGGTTTTTGTAGATGAAAAGTAAAGGATTTTTAAAAAGATGCGTTTGATCTAGATCATATATTGATATTATTAAGTCAGACGTCGCGACCTTTTACACTTCTGGATATTATCCCACACGTAAATTATCGTACTCAACGTATTCATTATTATTATCTTCAACAACAAAGCTACGTTACATAACTTATGCTAGGGGACATTCTGGTCTTGTAATAATATTTTGAATAAGTTAATCCACTTCCAGAGGTTACAAGATTTTGTATACCTATGTACTGTAAAAAATGTACGATTTACGGAAGGATGACTATGAAATATGTACAACATATATTTACTCATAAAAAATCCTTCACGACAATCATGGGTAGGTATTTTCAAATAATATTGAAACACTTCTTATAATTTATTAATACGGAATGTCAAAACCTCTAAATTTAAGCCGAAAAGTTTCTTGTTCCTTTGTAATAAATCGGGGGGCACGGCAGTGCCCCCGCCAAGTCGAGCGCGAAGCGAACACTGCCGTACCATCCTTTACTGGAACCATTTCGCCGCATTTTCAGGCCCCTATTTGAGAACCTCCGGATAAGACCAGAACGCAGAAATTTTCGTCACCCAGTAAGCTATAATCACATACTTAAAATCCAAAATTTCAAGTCTGTAGGTCATTTAGTTCCGAAGTTAAGCGAAAGCAAAGTTTCGCATTTATGACACTCACTCACTCATGATCATCAGAATAGAACTAGTACTTCCCATAAACTCAGAGAGCTGAAATTTGGTACAGAGTTAGGGTTTAATGGCCACATAAAGGGAAAACTATAAAAACAAGGATAATCGAAGATCTGGAGTACCTGGTGACCCTGATTAGAAAACACAAGAGCCCAACCAAACTATTAGAAGAGATCGACATACCGCCTTTACAAAAATATTCAACTTGGTGGGCGGCTTCATTTGATGTTAAAAATCGAAGGTCTGAAGTATCTGATGAAGAACCCTCAGCTGGTCTCAGATGTATTAGAGATATGGTAATGCCCCCTTCTACTATTGGTACATAAAAAAAAATACGTGTACAGAGAACAAATCCCAATCTGTGTGGCGTATGCCCTAACAATTCACAAGAGCCAAGGTCTAAGTCTAAAAAATGCCCTCATGGACATTAGCACCTCCACATTCTCTTGTGGCCAAGCCTACGTGGCGCTTTCACGAGCAACCAATCTTCATGGGGTGTACCTCATAAATGTTGACTTCAAGAGTATAAAAGCTCAAGCTTCAGCGATCACCGAATACAACCGGCTTAGACGTAAATACCGCGCCGGTCTTTCAGAAATTAAACCGTCTAAACCGTCTAAAAGGCTAAATAATGAACGCGAATGGGCAATACGAAAAACTGTTGCTACTGTATAAGAATCAGAACCGGAAAAAAAGAAAAGAAAGATTTGTAATAATAAAAAAACTACACCTAAAAAGAAAAAAATGTGTCAAATAAGAAAATCTATTTTATTAGATTTTCAATATCAATATGCAAAAATCAACATGCCCACGTTTCTACAAAAAGCAGTGAAATCCCACCAAAAACATTCTGTAAAAAACTAGCCAAGTCTCGATGGAGCTGCTTGTTTATCTCTAAAAAGTAATGAAATCTAGACAAAGTCGTGCCAAGTCTAAGGTTCCTTACTGCGATTTCTTTATTATTATAGTTAATGTTGTGTGACTTGGCCGTTGAAGGGTACACAAGGGTACAAAACCAGGTGCTACATTGCATACACACCATTGCACCAATCTGTCGCCAGAATCGCTACCCATTGACGATGGAAAATTGCCACTTGGAAAACGTTGATTGAATAACCAGTCAATTGTAGGCTTGATAAAGCTGCGTATTTCAATAATACTTTTGTATAGGCGAGCCTGAAACAAACAGTATAAAAAATTATTTCCAGTACAGGCGGACTTCTAATCATTGATAGAAGTCCGTTTGTACGTCTATTTTATGTTAGATCGGTGGTCGATTTGACGCTCCAAAAAGAAGAGAGCGGAAGTCAGCATTGTCAATGCATGTGTTGCACAATCAACAACCGTCTAAAATGAGACACTAGCGTCCAATTACCAATACCACTATGGGCTATTATCTCGCTTAACAAACATAGGTAGCTGCAACAGATATAACATTACGTGTAAACATAATTACGTGCAACATTACGTGTAAACGCAACTTTATCAAGCTTACAATTGACTGGTTATTCAATCAACGTTTCCCAAGTGGCAATTTTCCATCGTCAATGGGTAGCGGTTCTGGCGACAGATTGGTGCAATGGTGTGTATGCAATGTAGCACCTGGTTTTGTACCCTTGTGTACCCTTCAACGGCCAAGTCACACAACATTAACTATAATAATAAAGAAATCGCAGTAAGGAACCTTAGACTTGGCACGACTTTGTCTAGATTTCATTACTTTTTAGAGATAAACAAGCAGCTCCATCGAGACTTGGCTAGTTTTTTACAGAATGTTTTTGGTGGGATGTATACTCTATTCGACAGTTACTCGTTTTTTGCAAAGTAGGTGGATAACTATGCAAACCGTTACGTTGGTAATTTTGTTGTTCCATAACAGAATATACCGTAGTTTATTTTAAAGTTTGAAACAACCCAAACATTTTATACCAACTTATTGTTGCATACTAATGTACCTTGCTGTACATATGTATTACAAGTAATACATATGTACAGCATGTTTTATTTAGGATTTCTACTGCCACTAGGAAATAATATATTATATAGAAGTTATTTATTTGCTACTTTAGGGGTGGAAATTTTTCTCTAAATTTATATGAGACCACTTTTGAAGTATAACTTATTTACCTTTTTAATAAGGTTAACCTATTTAATAAAAAAATCATCAAAATTGGTTCCCAATCTGCGAATATATCGCGTAACATACATACAAAAAAACACACTCGAATTGTGAACCTCCTCCTTTTCGAAGTAGGTTAAAAAATTGTTTATTTCCCAAGTTTCAATAACAAAAAAAACGCGATAGCATTTTTTATTTTTAAGTTTTTTTATAATCCAAAACATGAATTTCTTTGATAATTATTGTTATGTTTTTTTAAAAGGCAATAACAGGAAATTGATTTCATTTTTGCGATTAACGCGGGGAGTGCTCTTGCCTCGCCCATAAGCTAATTAGCAAAAACAGGACAATTCGAAGTTTACTAAAGTTACACGTTTTACTAATTATAATGAATATATGCTTTCTAATTTAGTTTTGAAATTCATTTCATTAGCGACATTAACACCCTTGATAATAATAATTTAATACAACGAGGTAATATAGATCGAGATATTAAACTCGGAACAGCATTGCCAACATCAATACATACAAATAAGTAAAATTGAAGTGCCTGTTTGTATTGTCAAAATAACTCTGTCTGTCTGTTTGTTCCGGCTAATCTTGGAAATGGCAGTACCGATTTTGACGGGAATTTCACTGGCAG